TATTACTATAATGTTCAATTATATATGTTACAAATATACATTAAAATTCAAATTTACACATTCAAATGCACATTCACATTTATAACACAGCCAATGGACATCATTTTTAGATTTGATAGAGAAAGCATTGAACCTTTATGGTTTTAAATTTGTTAGATTGGATGGTAAAATGCAAAGACATAAACGAGATGAAGTGATAAGATTGTTCCAAACTGATGGTTCAATCCAAATCTTTTTAGCTAGTCTCAAGTGTTGCTCCTTGGGATTGAATTTGACGGCTGCTAATCAATGCTTTATCATGGACCCTTGGTGGAATCCGGTAAGTCAAATTATTGTTTGAGAAGTATTGTTAATGTGAAAATATTAATTAACACTATTGTATTTTTTAATATGGGACATTGTAAACTTTTTTAGAGTATTGGTATGTGATTTTATATATTATATCTATACAATTAATTTTTATATTCATTTATTTATCTATCTATTTTAAAACAATAATAATAATTGTGTATATGCCATCACTAATTATGAATAATAGAGGATCAGGCAGTTGGTATGTATAATTATATATTATTTTCATCAGATTTCTACAATAAATAATAATAAATATAATTATTTATTCTAATATCCATAATAGATCGAGTTTATAGATTGGGACAAACAAGACCAGTCTCAATATTTAGATTTGTAATCCAGGATACAATTGAAGAACGAGTGATGAAATTGCAAGAAAGGAAAAGAAAATTGGTGTCCAATGCATTTGGGGAAAAGATTAGAGAGGATGCAAGTAGAGTCAGGGAAGGTAATTAATATGCACTTAATATGTATATACTATTATGTTCACGTATAATAATTAATGTGTTGTTTATGATTTGTTTGTTTGTTTATTTATTATAGCGAGATTGGAAGATTTACAAGCATTATTGGGAGGGAGTGGAAATCAAACAACGTTATCGTCATCTTCTTCGTCATCTTCTTCGTCATCTTCATCTACTCCTATTTTTACTTCTATCTAAAACATAATAATACATACAAATGAATAGTTTGTAGATGTTTCGTTTTCATAAATTCAAAAATATAAATCAATTAAACCATTTTATCATCATTAATTTCTTTCAAGGTGTTAATATCTGGCAAATTAATAATAATTAATATAAATTTATTTATGTATCAAGTAGTAAAATATTGCTTTAACAAATAAAAAATATTGGTAAAAATGTTAAAATTATGACATCAATCACCCTTCATTTAATATTTTTAACAGGTTCAAAGACCCATTCTTGGTAAGGATTGTCAAAGTTATTATCCACGGAACCGATATAAATTTCGACCTACCATGCAGTGAACATATTATATCGATTTTCCGCAACTGCCAATGCTGATATTTATTATCGGGGAAGTTATTGCTTTTTGAGCTAAGATATACATTTCGATCGCGTTGGCATTTAAATTTCGACCCGTTTTGTGGTGAACAATATTATATAGACCTTGGCCAATTTTTCTCGATGCTGATAGTCATTATTGGGATAGTTAATGGGCTCAGTGCTAAGATAAACTTGTTCACGAGCGTTTGCACCTAAATTTCAACTCGTTTTACAATGGATGATATTATAAATTATCTTTTTGATGGCAGCTCCATTTTCAAATAATTTGTCTGACTTTTTTATTTGAATCTTTAAAAATAATTTTTGAATTTTAAACAAATGTTTAAAAAACAATGTTTTTAAATATAAGAATTAGAGATAATTTTATTATTAAATATTTTAGTAGCATTAAGTCTCAATATTAATAAGAAAACAAGGGGAGCGAACAGTCTCACCCGTGAGTAATTTTTCTAAAATAAGTTTATATTAAGAGTAGGTTCTGTCTGATTGCACGATTCGATATTTTCAAGAATTCTAAACTAGCGACCAATAGCCTTAAACAATTTTTGCAAAAAAAACTATTCTTTGGGTTTATTAAACGTATATTAATACTACAGCAGTCAAATTCTTTATCTTTTATACTTTTTAGTGAAGTTGTTTTAAAAAATCAAAATAATTAATATAAATATATATATTATTTTTAAAAAAATAGCGCATACGCGCGCACACACATATATATACTATACATACTCCATGAACTCGTATTTTTTTTTTTCCTCTGGAGTAAATTGAATTTTATGTAAATAAGAAGTAATTGGTGGTAGCTCAAGTATAGGTCTACCATCAAACTTCATATCTTTTGTACGTCTTAGACAGATTGTTCTCATTAATACCTAAAACAATTATAAAAAATTACTATTTAATAATAATTATAAAGTAGGGGATTTAACAAATTTATTTACTTTGAGTTGTTCAACTCCAACCGGGTCCTTATTAATAAAACATAACAATAAAAAGATAAGTTAATAAATCAATCAATTGAAATCTACCACATAGGTTCACGTATGTATGATTTCATTAAATATTTTCACTTACACCATTTTTAATAGGTCTAACAAATATCCTATTCCACCAGTTTAAGTCATCAAATGGATTGATTCTTAAAAATTTTACTAAAGAATACTATTAAATACATACGTATATACATATGTATTAATTAATCATAATTTAATATATATATATATATATTTCTTCTCCCCTCCCCAAAAATATTAATTACCATATCATTTAGTTTATTCATAATTGGAGTACCAGTCAAAATCCATCTTCTCTCACCCTCCAAAGCAAAAGCAGCTTCACTTTGTTTGGTTTTTTTGGATCGGATAATATGTCCCTCATC